TTGTTTAAGCATGAAATTATCAAACAAAATAGGAAAAGGAAAAATCCAAGTTATTTAACATTCTTTCCCCTATGGTATACCTTTAAACTCATGCGAAATTGCTAACACACAAAGCAAAATCTGCATACATTTCTGAAAGACTGCAAACCTGTTTCTAAGTTCAAAAATATTTGACCCTGAGATGCCTTTACATAAAGCCTCACTAGGAAGTTCTAATTGTGCTTTAAGTTCACAGATGTGGGTAAGCCACTTCTCATTAAACTTTCTAGAATTCCATGAACCCCTTTGACACGCATTTTCAAATGTAAATATAAACACTGACTAGCTTGTGAAACTTTGTTTCATTCTCCTCCAGAGGAGAACAAGGATCAACCACAAAAGGAAGCAGCCAATTGGTTTTGTCTTACATGCTTAATCCCATACAAACTAGTAGAATCTACTGTAATTAACCAGTTTGTGACTTCAGTTCTTTCACTCAGTAGAAAAACATCAGGACTTTGCTATTAATGACACATTTTTAGATAACATTGGGTGAAAGAAGAGGAAAAGGAAACAGTGAGAAAAAGTCCCAAGAAAGTGTTGAGTATCTTTTTACTGAAAGACAACAAATGCAAGTGATTCCCGTTTTATTAATTCTTAAGAAAGTGTTACCCTCTGTCCAGTTTTTGCCTTTACTAATATAACCAGACAACAGGCATTGCATATATCCACTTTCAGATTGCCACCTCAATTACTATTTCAGTTCTGACACACTGACAACCAACCCTAGCACTTACAAAAGGTGGAATTTTCTGGTCTGCGAGCAGACATACAGATGCCAGAGATATTAAATCTGTGGCCCACCTGGAAAATTCATTCTACCTGCAATCTACTCCCTCCAGCTTTTTACCAGTAATAAGTTGCCTATTGAGACACACGATGACAATGCAATATTGAGTGTATCGAATTTATGGAAAAGGTCTGGCCATGTTATCAGGTCCTTCTTGCCTTCAGAACAAACTACATGCTCGACTCAACCAAAATGCTGGATCTGTTTCCAAACTGAGTATCTGTAGTAAATGCTTATTTGTAGCATGAACTTTTATCAAATATTACTTACAGGAAGACTTAGTAAGTAGAGAAGCACAGCTTTTAAACCTATCAGCTAAATTTAACAGGCACCTCTAACAGCACAGAGAAGTCTATGTTATGAAACTCTAACATGTTAATTATTGTTCTTCTATCAGGTGGTCCAGAGAGATTATTGGTAAGAACTACAAATCACCTGTGAGAATTTCCAGATTTATCCAACACAAAGAGCTCTGAGATAATCTGCAAAGTACAATATGTATCAGGAAGCAAGACAAACACATTACAGTGGACAACAAACATATAGAATCATCATGTTTTGTTCAGATATTCTTCTAAATTAGGACAGGCCAGTCTTACCAACCATAGAGCCCACTCCTTTTTGCAAGAGTCTCCTCACATGTCACTTTAAGCTTGCCAACTGCTTTCTAAGCAAACAACCATATGAAGCAGAGGTCTCTTGTCTTTGGGAGGAAAAATGGTAGGTCAGATGGAATTATGCTTCAGGCTGAATATAATACTTCACAGGCTGTGGGACTAAACTAACCTAAAGTAGTGATTTAACAGATATGGATATGAACTCAGCTGTTTTACTTACAGTCAGCAACAATCCTTAAAAACTACTTGTATAAATATTTGTGTAATTAATCCAACCTTAAAACCATTCAGACCTTTTTACTTATACAGCACAGTAAAATTTCCAGTGTACAAGAAGGGCTGCATGATCAAACTTCAATCACATTTCAAGCACAGTTCAGACTCGGGTATTCTGTAGGATTAGTTTTAATCTACATTTTTTCCACTTCAACATCAGAACAGTCAGTTCTCTTAAATTTGTTTGCTCATTTTCTTCCTGTACCTGCCACTGTGATCTGCACTTACTGAACAGTTAAAATTACCTTTTTTTTTTTACTCTTGGCCAGAAAGATACATATACATGTATACATACATGAAATACATATACATGTATTTTAAGGCGTGTATTAGTACACCTATAAAAGTGACTTTTAATCACTCATCATTTAAACAGAAGATAACATTAAACTAGCAAATGTTAATCTTCTAAAAAGTAGTTTTCTCATTATTATGCTCTCTTTGTACTCTCTTACTCCTACCACACTGTCTAGGGTATATATTCCGAAATTTCACGCATACCATAAAGTATCTTTGGAATGTTACAGTATAATTGTTTAGAGAAACATTTAATGGATGAGTAAGCATCAAGAGGCCATGGCTAAGGGAAAAGAAAATTTAAAATGCTAGAAGCATTTTGTATTGAATGATCTTCTCAGCATGAGGACAGGGGACAGACATTTGATCCAAAAATCTGGTATTGACTCAAGTGATATAAAACCAGCAGCCAGCATCTAGGCATATGAAGCCATCCAACCACCCAACAAAATACCTGCTACCACCCATCTCTTTCAAAGTGGACTTCAGTCGCTGTCTAGTAAAGCAATCAAATGCTACAGGATATTATTTGATCAATAACATGAATATTATGATCAGGGATTACATGATCTTGGCAATTGGCTATTTTTTTTTTAATTGGTTGCTTGGTTTCCCAATTTACAGCACAAATAATTTGCATGTGCATGATACAGAAATGCAACAGAAGTAACTGGAAAAAAAAAGCTGGGCACTGAGTACAGAGACAGCTAAAAAAAGCTGAACATTCTTTCACTACAGGAAACTGCTGGAGACAATATGCTGTAAATTAAAGCCAATTTTCCTGAATTCCCTGAAGGAGTGCTCCTCCCAGAGATTCTACAAACCCATTAGCAAAGGCCCATCATTATAGTTTTCTCTGGGCTTATATACTGAAGACAGTTTTAAAAAGCACACCCAAAATAAAATGTACAGTGTACCAGGGGGAGAGGAGTGGGACAAATCAGGCCTAACCTTACATAATTGATTCATAACCTGATTATTAGAGCACAGCTGAGATGGTTTTTGCTCCCAATTCCTCCTCGTCCCCATACTTTAAGTCAAGGAAAAGCAAAATAATTACCTCCCTACCTGAATTTCTGATCAGAAGAATGGATACTGAGGCAGGAGAGGTGGCATATGCTGACATGCACTGCTCTGGAAATCAAGTAGTTCTTTTAGCACCACAGTTAGAAAAGCCAAGCTTCCTACAGACTTGTGTCACAGCTGAAGCTTGTCTTATGACTGGGTACCTAAAATATCTGTCCAAGTGGATTCTGTGGTGCTTAACAACATATGAATTGCAGCTGGTGCAGTACAATCCATCCTAGCTTCATACTTCCACAGAATTTTCAGAAATCTAGTGTCTTTGAGGAACTTCTATTTCTGCATTAAATTTGGTGGAGAACAGGTAACAAGCTAAAAAAATTAATTAGGAACACATAAATAGTGTGATTCTATAAATCCCATCTTGTTAATAAACTCATGGACAAGTAGCACCAGTTCTGCTATGCAGCCTTCTAGTTCGAAACCCAATATATTTCCCAGAATTCCTCATCTATTTGTAAAACGTGTGAATCTAAATCATATGCAAAAATAATGGATTGTACATGCTGATTGATTAAAACTTTAAGAGATATTTGTAGTCACATAAGACTGCAAGGGTCACTGTATTTGCATCCTACTCTCAGAAACGCTATATTAAATAATCTCTTCCAGAAGACACACACCCCCATCTTAAAATGAGTTTTCTTTTTGCATACCTCCCCCTTAAATAATCTCAAAATTAGGACATTCCTTCTAATTTCCAGCTTAATTCATTAAAGACCCCATCCAGTGGCCACTTAGATGAAACTTCAGATTGTGTAGGACAAGTTTTTACATCAAGATTTTCTTTCTCTTCTCTTCAACAACAGAGTGATCCAGATGTTGCTGTCAGATAAATTCACTGGTTTAAATCTATAATTTTTTTCTAATGCCATATGCAAAGGCAAATCCAAATATTCCACAGGTAACTTTTTCTGTAACTACTTTCGTTTGGTGAATTATAGGGAACCATAATACCGCTGCTGATTTTAAAACAAGGTCTATAGATTACTTCTTGTGTTACAATGACCATACCAGAATCTGTAACTATATCTTTGGGGGGTTAGAGTAATGGGGAACACAACACAGTTTACAATGAAGTCTAACAAACAAGGGTATGTTGATCTTTTCAGCCACTTAAATCCAGGAAAAACAAAAGCAAATGTCTTCCTACCATAGCATCACAAAACCCAACCCCAAGTACTTGCATCTTAATGCCTGCTGAGATGTTTTCCGCTAACCATCCAGTAGATTTCTTATAATACTCAGTACACACATTCCTCCACAAGCTGGATTGATTTCTTCCACAGTTTAACTTGTTTTTGCCAAAGTCTCTTTTAGTTCAGCATTGGCTGCCTGCCTAACGTAACAACCTTTCTTCATGCCAAAACTGTCATCTTCAGTTGCACAAGACGCATCTTACTAACAAACATGTATAATGAGCCCAATGTTTAATGCTTCAAGAACTGCTATTTTAAAATGATCTCTAGCAATAACTTAAACAGATACAAAAGTGGTCAGTACCTAACTTTGGGGGGCAGGGGGGTGGGGATGGAAATCATTCTCAAGAAAGATTTTTTTCTCCTTTTGTATTTAAATACACCTTTTAAAAAGAAAACCCTTAACCATTTACTAGAACATGAAAGCGTATGGATTTAACCACAGACAGCGGTGAGAAATGTAAGGCTCACTCAGAACCTGCAGTTGAAAGCTTCATTCTCACTCAGTGTGAGGTCATCATTACATAATGATTACATGCACCATAAATGTCTCTTACTGAAAAAATTAGCCTTTAAATATAAGAATCTGATAACTTAGTAAATTATCAAGTATTGCTAATGACTGAAAAAAATCCATCTAAATAAATCTCTTGCTCTATTTTTCTGCCATGATTTCAGTCACAGCTGAAACAATAATACCTGTGTAAGAAGCTGTTCTTCAGTCAGATTATTGATCCAACGAGTATACCTTTCAGTAGACTCCAGTGGCTCTCTTCTGACTTGGCAACCAATAATCTAAAGCAAAATGAGATAAATCACATAGTGTAAACTGCTGTATGCGCACATGGCAACAAAATAAGGTCATAAAATAAGCATTCAAAACATGGGAACTGCAAGAATTAAGATTATCTATACAGCCCTTATTAGCTACCTTTTGTGTTCATAATATCATATCATATCATATGTCACAGTTGCTCTGCTCAAATGTTAGTTACAAACTTTCAAAGGTCTCTAGAAAACCAACATTGAGAAGTGCCTTTCCAATAGCTTCAGTCTTGGGAATATTTGAATCATTTTGGTTGAAATTTTCAAAGGAAAGTCATCCAAAGGCAGACATCTAGAATGCAAAATTTCAACCAAAATAGTTAAAAGTTTGGCAAATGAAAACTAGAACTTGGATAGCATCATACAATCATACCAACAGTGCCATAACCTATAACACCACACATTACTTATAATTTATATAAAATAAGGAAAAAAAAAAGTCTGTATTCTGAGTTGTGTCATTCACGGTAGAACAATGTAGACACCCCATTTTGATTTGTTCACTGAAGTACTATATTCCCATTCGAGCAACATTTTCTTTAATACTCTTCTGCAGTTGTACAGGTTAAATATGAATTTCAATATTCTGAACACCTGTTGGCATAATAGCTTCCAATACGCATCAAACAGAATATTAGAGGGATTTCATATTATCTGTAACTGCACAGACATGCATTAACGCAATTTCATACAAACACTAAACTGTTTACTCTACAAATCTCTGGTTAGTCAAGGAAGAAGCGAGGAGAACCCTAGGAGTATGACTATACAGAACTGTGCTGTTTGCTACTCCCAATGGTTTGCAGTCTACCCTAAGCCTTCAGGGTACTACAGGACTTAATTGTATGTGCAGAGAAAGCTGATACTGTTTTATACCAACTACTGCACTCCTGTCATACTGTTAACTGTCTATTTCTCTCCCAGAGTTTGATGGGTGCTTCCTGCTGAGGATGTGTTCATTCATTGAGAATTAATACCAAAGCATAGGTATTAGCGTTTCTGAACACTAATTTCAGATAATCAAGTTTTGTTCAAGAACAGTGTGGAAAACTTACTTGGTTTATTTTCTACCCTAAGCATTCATAAGGAATGTAAGTGTACATGCTGAGCACAGCAAGTTTAAATCTTTCAGGTATCTCTATCTACAGAGCTTTAAACCCCACACAGATGTAAGTAGTCAGGCTAGAATTCTGCACGTGCAGTTATGAATACTTTTGATGTGGGAACAAAAACACCACGAAGAGATCTTGCTGGGGGACTGCTGGCAATGAAACATCACAATTTACCGTATGATTAAATACAATCAAAATAACAAACATGAAAAAAAAAAAAAAAGAAAACATGATTTGCTTATCCCATAGGAATAAAACAGAATGACTCTGAACTATGAAATTTTTCCTCAATGACAGTTATGAATTACTATGTACAACTTCAATTCTTACCCTAAATTTCTCCTGAATTACAGCTAAATGATACTAAGACATTTTCAGAAGGCTAACCCAAAATTCTTTTAAACTGAATATCAATTAGAAGAGTTCATAGATATGTTTTTAAAGGGGACACTCCACAGATATATATTAAAAAAAAACTTCCCAGAAGTTGCATCAGATGTACATATATTCTGTTCCGTGAAGACGATTTTTATTCAAGAATATAACTATATACAGAACTCTTGACAGTATTCATTAACCAAGACCTTATTAACCTTCTCTTGCATATCCTAGGTTTTTACAACTTATAAAGATACTTTACAAAACTATGCATAAAAGTCAGAATAGAAAAACTACAAAGCACTTTTTTCTCAAAAAGTATTGTATAACAATACAATAGGGAAACTTAGTTTCTTTATTCAAATAGTCACAGCATAAGCTAAACGAATACAGAATCACAAACAGCTTTCATGAAGTAAGAGATAAAAAGGAGAATCTCAAATTTGTTTTTCTGAAAACCTGGTCTTCAGTTAGAGCCAAGTAGTAAGTGCAGTCATCTCTTTCTATGGAACCTGAAATTTAAATGAGAAGCAGAGGACAGTTGCATATTCTTGCATTAATTTCTGTCCAGTCTGACTGTTTTCATAAATGCTGTTGATAGTTTAAAGCAATCTGAAAAAAAAAAGTTGAATCCAGGTGCTCAGCTAAAGGACTTTAATTCCCTAAAGTCCAAAAAACAATCGGTTCAAATCTCAACTCCTTATGCTTCCAGAGAAAATTGAATAGGTTTGATCAATTATCTGTACATACACTCAAGGAGAGACGAAGGCAGACAGAATAACTGCTATTAAATTGGATCCTGATGGCTCTTTTCTGTATTATATATTACTTTTTGTAATTTCTAGAGTTTGACTTAAATTCTTAGCCAAAATTTCCTCCTCTTTCCATACAGCCATATAGATAATTCCATTGCACTCTCCGATTTACTTCTCTGAATTTTAGCTTGTAACAATGATTCTGTACTTCCTTTATGTAGGTCTTCAAACACTTCGAGCATTTTGGAATTGAAAACACCATAATTAGGAAAAAAAAGACTCGTCAAGTAAAAAAGTTATTTAGGAATTACTGTTATTGCAGTGATGTATCCAAAGCAGAAAAAACAATAGGTTACATTGAATTTTGCCAAAATTTGGGGCAGAATCCTTGGAAGTGTAACTTTCCAAACTCCTTCCTCAACTGACATGCCTAACAGCGAGACAGAGAGGATAACAATCTAGAGCCTTATATACAAACACAGTAATCAAATAAAAAACTATGTTTAAAAAAAAAATAATTTTTTTTACACAGCAATTTTGTTTTCTACAGCAAAGCTCAACCTAATGTTTAGAACAATAGTAAAGCCAGTATAAGGTTATCAATCTAGAAAAATATATAAAGAAATACAGCAGAAAGTAATAGGATTGGCCTCTGACTTTTAAGTGTCAGATGTTAGAGTAACTCAATGTTTCAAGAATCGAATTACAATTTTTACCTAGTCTTATGAAAACTTAGAATAATCATTAGGGCAACCCTTCTATTGTTGCAACTCAAAGTCCATTTAGCAGCACACTGAACACCTAAAGGTCCGTGGCATTGAGTCTGAATGTAGTTTTACTAGAATTGATGGCAAAGGGTTTGAACATCGAGCTATCTCCAGAGCAATGGATTTCACTTCCATGACTAAACAGGACACAGTTAATGACTCTTGGTCCTTGAATTTTCAAAATCAGACTCCAAAAACCTCCATTCTGCAATCACTAACAAAGTGTTATGATGACCTACTCTACTATCAATGAACACTAAAAAGGAAAAACAGTAATACCAATGCCGAGAATTAATGTGAGGAAGAAAAGCTGCTTGCTGGAAAAAATGAAGACAGTGCAAAATGTAACTCTGAAAAACAAAATCTTCTGACTCCAGATACTAAAGTCCTCATTTCTCTAAATGATACTTAGTATATCATACCTTCTTCCCCATATCTTTGGCTTTTCTTACTCTTTTCCATTTTGAGCTCTAGCAGACAGGCATTATTGATGAATGAAATGGCTCCAATGAAGTTAATATAAAGATGAGGTTAAGATTTCACTCTAATTTCTTCTTCCTTACACACTGAGTAGGATCATTATCTAGACAATAAAATATCATAATACATACTTAGCAATCCTATACTTGTTTCATATATGGAATTAAAGGAAGACAGAGAGGAAAAGAGGGATTAATATAATTAAAACTTTTCTAAAATGTCTTCCATAGTAGTGGTTTTAAGTTTGCTTTTTGTTAAAATTACCTAAACGTGCTATCTACGCACACAACTAAAGTATTTATTTCCAGAAGGCTTTCTAATTATTCCTAAAAATCTATTCTTTCACAAGCAAATTGAATTGCTGTCTTCACTCCTCCTCCTCATCCAAAAAAAACAAACCCACAGCAACAACCTGACAATTCCTTTCTTCAAAAGCAAAGGAACAAAAAAAGCCATAGTCGGTATTCTTAGTGGCCTTTTGTAACATTTCCATGGATGTACCAAACACATCAGCAGGGCACATAAAAGCAAGGATCTCCCTCCTGCAGAAGACAGTATTGTAAAACATCATTTAACTACTTTCTTTAGTTACAATGATATCACAGCAAAATACACTTAACCATATAAATGCATGTTATTGAGAACAGCTGCATTTTGATCTTGCAACACAGCAGGAAAATAACTACAAATGCATAACGAAGTTAACATTTTGTAAGAAGTGAAATGTTCACACTTCCCTCTACCCTAACATAACAGTGAAATGTTTTGCACAGCACAGACTTCCTGCTTCCTTTTTACTTTCAGAACCAATACCACTCAAGACTGCTTTTAGCATCATCTTAAGAGATATGTTTTACAAACAAATCTTAAAAATTGTCGCTATGCAATCAAATTTATTTCTAGATCCTCAGCCAAAAAAATTCCACGCCTTTCTGCTCTTTAGCTGTACCATTCATCCCCCAACAGGACTCTGACTCATGACTAGGATTCTTGACTTATGTGGTTGCAAGATAAACATCACCAACATAGACAAACTCAACCTGAGCCTTTGATACAGCTTCTGTAAAGCATAGCTCATTTAACCAGCTTCTTTCATCCAATCAAACTCAGAATTATTTAGAGTACAAACAGCTTCCTCTAGTTCCCCTGTGGAAGGTGTGGCATCAGAAGCAACTGCACACTGTTTTCCGTTTCTTCCACGTCTCAGAGCTTTTATATTCACTTAATGGAATATTTCCTTAGAGCTTTTAGATAGAAGTGAAAGGTTTTTCACTGTTGCTTCTTTCATAAGTTTTAAAATACTTTGATAAAAATCTTTCTAGCCTATTTTACACCCATTCAGACTTCCAGAAAGTATAAGAAACTCTCCATATCAGAAATATTCTTCTCAGTATTTTGAGTATCTGTTTCTATGCAAAAATGGAGTTCATCCAGGTTTCACCTTTTTGATCTAATTAGGCAAGTTTATTTTTATTATT